CGGGACAAAAAGCATCCTGTTACCTAAGGCATAGGTACGGGCGGGGTATGAGCCCCTGCCTGTATGACCCGGACCTCGGACCCGGTGCCTCCATTCACGTGCTGAGGGTGGTCACCGGGGTGGTTTAAGTGAGGTAAAAATCCCACGCTCCCTAGTCTTTTATCCCCAAAAAGCTAGGCGCCTTCTGAAGGTTTCCCACCGTCAACAAATAAAAAAGGTACCTAAGTATGTAAATAAAAAATAAACCAGAGTTACTATATATATTACTATATATATTACTATATATATTATTACAATTTTATTTTCGCTATTTTCGTGATATATTGCGAAAGTTTCAACTAAATTATCGAAACAATTTCGTCATAAAGGTATTGAATTGTTCAAGTAGAAAAATATATTTCCAAACAAAATACTTCGCTTAGGGGGCAAAATGGTAAAAAACTAAAACATGCAATTTCACAATTTACAAATTTTCTGCGTAAGTATCAAACTATAAAATTGGTTTTCACTACAGAACAATATTTTCTATTTTCTATAATAATATACATCCTTAGGTACTATAATATTATAATTCGGAAAGTGAGTTTGTTTGTTTGTTCCGCTTTCACGCCGTAACTACTGAATTTGCTTTGAATTTTTGCAGACGTAAAGTTAGAAGTCCGGATTAAATAATAGAGTACTTTTTATCCCGGAAAAATTTGATATTCCCCAGGGAAAACAAAAGTATTGGTATAGATGGCGCTGTGTGTATTGGTATGTCACATAGGCTACTTTTTATCCTTTTGTGACGCGAGCGAAGCCGCGGGTAAAAGCTAGTATACATATAAATAATTCAATCACGTACGGAGTCAATCGTTGATAACAAGTCGTTAAGCTGGTCAATAACTTACATTACTGTTTTGCAATAATGAGGTTTGTGTTTTTGAAAACAAAAAAAAAAATTTAAAGTGTCAGTCTGTCGGTCTTCTAGTGAAGCTATTTGCCCGTCCCAAAGTGTAGATTTCATTTTATTTTAGGCGGTATTTCTGAACCGCTAAGTCCTTCAACCCTTCCGGAAAAGAGCGTATTCCTTTTTAACAGGCCGGCAACGCACTTGTGACTCCTCTGGTGTTGCGGGTGTTCATTTGCGGCGTTGATCGCTTACCATCAGGTGATCCGTCTGCTCGTTTGCCTCCTATTCCATATAAAAAGGTAATGAATTATAGATTGATGAAGAAAATTAACAATACCCTGATGTGAAATTATTATTTGAACTTTAAACGCAACTTTGACTTTAGTTGTTTTTCTATAATTTCGTTCCTACGTATTAAAAGATCTTTCCTCGACTACCAACTGTCCTCACACCACAATCCCGTCTAAACGCACCACCAGACGCGAGGCACTTAAAAAAGGTGACTAATTAAAAAACTCCCTTCTTTAGGGTAGATTTTTTTATTTCCTCCCCCTCCACCCCCCTACAGGTGGGGGTGTGGGGAAGAACGTTTACAAACGATGTTACATTGCGACTGCATTTTATTTTGTAGTTTCGGTACTGAGTTATTTCTGTGTTCTAGGTTTGTTGACGATGTGAGTTCGGCAACGACAGTAGTATATATGTATTAATTTAAAATTCTCTATAATTTATATTTTTAAATACTACTTACAATAAAAGAAATAATAATATTTAAAAGTATAAAAAATAGGAGCCGACCAGTAGCGGGAGCATGGTCCAAGCTACCGGTGTTTAGGGCTCCAGTAGATTTTTTGATATGGTTATAGTTAAGACGTAATGTGATCGCTATTATATCAATCAATATCAGGGCTGTTCAAACTATACAACTATACCCTCGCGGGCTAATTAAATTTCTTACAAAAGCTGAAGGGCTAGAAAAATATATTCAGTTGTATAATGACGTTTAATATTGTATACTTTACTCACAGACAAAACTTGCATACCTACAAATCATAACTACACTGAATTTTATTATTGTTGTTACACATAAGATATAGGCTAAAAAACTACTGCTTTTCTTTGTATTAGGCTATATTTTTCCATTGAATATGTGGTTAAAACCTTTTATAAACAGCTAGTAACTAATTTCTGAAGTGTCGTGACACTTTAACGATGACAATTACTAGGTGGCTCACCATCGTATCAGCGACAAGACGTCTGCTGCCGATCATAGTCCAACCCAAAGAGGGTTATGATCACGGATGGGGCCCAGAGCTGATGCCGATAAATTGTAAAGAACGTAAACGGTTACTAGGGCCCCGGCTCGAAGTGCAGGAGTAGGCACGGGGTGGTTTTTAGTCAGTAAGAGTTTGTCATAATAACTATCGTGAGACACGCTAAATTAACTAAAATCGCGGGTTACTCACGTGAATATACTGAGAAGAGCTCTACCACCATAGAAGAGTTCTTCCTCATGAGCAGCGTGCGCGGTCGCGGCGATATAGTGAGTGAGCGACATCGCCCCTCGCGATGTCGCTCACTCACTATATCACATCACCCCTCGCCCCCTCAAGAACTCCTCTGTGGTTCGAAACTAGTAGAGCTTTTCTCAGTATATTCACGTGAGTTACCCGCGATTTTAGTTAATTTAGTACCAGTCTGACACTCCCTCCCGCCCGCCTCACCTAGGCGAAGTCCTTCGATGATTTCCCCCCTTAACTCGTCGAGTACCGGTTTTGTAGACACAATTATAGAACAATAGGTTGCGGTCACCGGTGACCGCTTGGTGTTTGACAGTTTAAAAAAGAAGTTTGGCTAATGATAGACATCTGTGCATAGTTATAATATGTAGGTAGTTATTAGTGGTGACTAGGTGTCATAGTTAATTAGATAGTACAAGGCATACGTAATGATCAACGTCTTCTGTGCTTACCTAATAATTATTATAGGTTATTAATAATTGATCAGAACTGGATTTTCAGGCAACGTAATTGGAGATTTTTTTTATGGCATAAGCCGGTAAACGAGCTGACGGATCACCTGATGGTAAGCAATCGGCGTCGCCCATGGACACCTGGAATACCAGAGGCGTTACAAGTGCGTTACCGGCCTTTTGGGGATTAGGAGTTTGAGGATCGTTGGGGATTCAGGAATTGGGGAGATTGGGGAAGGGAAGGGTAATTGGGCCTCCGGTAACCTCACTCAAACAACAACACAACGCAAGCGTTGCTTCCCGTCGGTTTTCTGCTCGGCCGTGGTGTCACTCCGGTCGAGCCGGCCCATTCGTGCCGAAGCATGGCTCTCCCACACTGAAATTTCAGACCGTACTTACATCGGTTATGTTTTTTTTTGGTCTGCCGTGAATATGTTTTTATGAGATATTCTAGTCAAAGCATCAAACTCAAGCGATAATCATCTTTGAGTTTGTTTCGGAGTTTCTTCTCAGAATAGACAGTTAGGAAATGCCGGCCCTCATCCAGTCATTTAAAGATTGACATGTTAAATGTCTTTGTAAAGAAATAAATATCGATTCATTTAATTTCAACTTATAATAATAATAATATTTACTTACATCATTTATCATAGGTATATATCAATGGTGATATGTTACATTATTGCCTTATCTATATATATAAAAGAAAGTCGTGTTAGTTACACTATTTATAACTCAAGAACGCCTCAATCGATTTAGATGAAAATTGGCAGGGAGGTAGCTTAGAACCAGGAGACGGACATAGTATACTTTTTATAGAATACTTTTTTTTACTTTTTACCGAAAATCACGAACGGGAACGGGGGCAAAATGGGATTGCGCGTACGAAGTCGCGGGCAGAAGCTAGTTATATATACATCATATACATTATACCTTACTTATTATATTTCAGTCATAGATGACTGCCTATTGGCCGAGTGGTCGCAAGTGCGACTCAAGCAAGGGGGTCTCGGGTTTCCGGATCGAGCAGAGTATTAGGTACTAGGTTTTTAAAAAAATCTCAGTAGTAGCACGGAGTCTGGAATCGTGCCCGGTATATGGCAATTGGCTCACCCCCTATTACATGGGACTCATAACATAAATAGTGAAAAGTAGATGTTACATTGTACAGTGGCATAATGTGCAGTAATGTGCACCTCTGCGACCTCTTCGGTAATAAAAGGCGTGATGTTATGTCATGTAGTCATAGGTATTAGGTATTTTTTCAAAGATTCAAAGTAATTAAGATTATTTTTTTAATTTTGTGATAGTCACCGGTATCTGAAGCCTGGTGGTGCACTATCATGTGACCTACGATGGAGCACGTCGTCCCATAAGCAACCTATTCACTCGGGCTTTGAAGACACCCAGGTTATACCCTTCAGGAAACCTAATCTGATGATAACAATGATATCGTTATTTAAATACCACAAATGGCTGTTGCCTGGTAGAAGTTGAAGATAATTGAGATATGATTATTTCATTAACATTTCATTATTTTAGACTCAATTGATTTATTATTTTTTTTAATCAACTGGTTTAAATTCAAATAAAAGTACATTTAATACTAAAAGTACTAAAACTAACTACTAACTAAAACAAATATTGAAATGTACACAACAATTTTAGTAAAGAAAGAAAAAAAAATCTGTGAAAACTACAATTGTAGCTCATTTACAAAAAAAAAAATAATTATTATTACCTAAATCAAAATATTTCCTCTAACCCACAAACCGACTTAAATCTGAAATTCGAATTCTTCGAACACTGGAAAATAATATTTTTTTAAAAGCACAGACTAAAAACTGCCGCAGTATACTAATTAAAGCCACCCAATGGTTTAAACTTAAAATGGCGGCATGCTTGTCCTATCACAAAAAGGCTACTCAATTAAGACGCGCAAAATCTCGAACTCAATACAATGATGAACAAACAGTCAGACATTACAATATAATAAACTGCCGACGAATATAATAAAACCAAGAAAGTATAAATAGAAAAAAACCTCGGCGCTCCGCCCCATTGTGGGTATGTTGCTTGCCACGCCTAAAGTAGGGGGGTGGGAGCCTCGTTCGCCAGTCGCCGTCGATTCGCGTATAGAGTTAGCGTTCGAAACGTTAAAACCTCTTTTGTGAAAAATTTTCATTAATCTGTCAAAATTTCTATTGTCTATAGTCGATTTCTTATCTGCATTTTTTCCTATTTGCCGCGCATTTTTGACGTTTGATGTTTTTTTTTCGAGAGAAAATTTTTCGGACGCGATTTTTTTTTTTTCGGTTCAAGTGTTAGTGTTTCTGTGTGTGGTATCCTATGGACTGTTTTGTTATGTTTTTCCAATGAGAAAATTATTGTAACTATGAAGGATCGTTTTACGTAGTGCTTCAAGTGGGATTTTTTAGAAACGTAAGTATATTTTTTTGTTTTACTTAACCTAACTCGCTTTAAATTGATACCGGCTTTTTCGGTTCGACAAGAAAAGGCTCCGTTAGTCTCATAGATGAAATAAATAGACAAGCAACTAATGTTATTGACATCCATGTAAAATATGTCCACAAAACTATTTTTTATGCAAAATTTTTGCCGTAAATAATTCTAGCCTACTTTATTTATTTGTTGATTAATTTATTTGACATATTTTTAAATTTATTTCCTCGACCTGTCGACTGGAAAGATTAAAAATGTTTTATTGATTTTTTAGCACGTTTTTTTATCTATGACGGCGCGTTTTTAAATCGATAACGGCCGCTGTCGGCGACTCGAAAACTAGATTTAGACATTGCTTAAAAATACTAATACCTAGATAAATAGACAATTTTTTGTTTGAATCTTAGTATGAAATTAAATAGGTCAATAACTATTATACAGAGAAAACAACAGTTTTTTTTGTTTGTAAAGCTCTTCGTGTTTTAAGGAAGTACCTATACTAACATAATCATTTTTATTTTTAATCTTTACTTGTAGAACGCTACCGTATTAGTGAATAACGTAGGCTAATTTTTATCCCTATGCCCACGGGATCGGGACTTACGGGAATGAAAAGGGAGTTTACCGGAAAAAATGGGTAACATCCTTCATTTTCCTACGGCAAATATCGCGAACGGAAAATTGGTTTTTGATTATTTTTATTAGGTATTTAAATATTCATGCATTTATTGTTACGTTGGGTTCTTGGTTGTTTGATACGATTTTAAATTGATGTAAATATGAATTCTTAAGCGTATGTAGATGGGTTAATGCCGATACGAAGCCGAGAGCCGAGAACTTAACGGGTTACCGAGGCTCCGGCTCGAAGTGCAGGAGTAGGGACGGAGTGGTTTCTAGTCAGTAAGAGTCTGGCACTCCCTCCCGCCTCACCCAGGTAGGAGAAGTCATTCGGTGGAGATAGGTAGATATCTGAAATTGATTAACGGCTCGGATTCGTTTCCCGGATCGCCAAATGTGTTAAATATTGACTCGCGTCGTATTAACATAGAACTTTAAAATTTTAAAAGTATGTTCCCATTTACTTACCCTTATACAATTGATATACTTACGGGATTTGACATTTATAACATCACATAATGCTACGCCTTTTAATCGCTGGATGGGTAAGCAAATGAGTTCAATAAATATATATATGGTTAGCTAATTTAATTATGGTTAGCCTGGGACGCGCCGGACTTCAGTGTTCCGGTGTTTTCATGGTTGTATCTACTGTAGATCCTGGCTTACAGGAGTTGCAGCGGTTTTAAGAGGTTGAGACGGAGTTATTTTAATAAAAATCCTATGATACTTTGTTGCGTAAATAACTATATAACTTAATAGAAAAAATATATTTATAAATGTGAATTGTTGAAAGCTAAACAATAGGAAACAAAAAATTGAATAAAAAGACAATAATAATTAAGACGTAAATCTATGACAAAACAAAACGCGCATTTAGGAAAATAAAAAGCCACCAAAAGGAGGTTTCGCCAAAGAGGTGCTAATTTATCACTTTACATTATGATATTTATATTTTTTTATTACGTATTTTGACGCTAAATGGAAAATTGAGCTAAAACTGGTTTATGTAGGTACGACGAAGCAGAATTTGCATTTTAAAGTTGTTAATATTTGTATTCTTAGTTAGTATTATAGGTAAATGTGATTGTTTGTATATTTGTGATGCTGTATCGGTTAAAGTGCTGAATCAATTTTGGTAATCTTTTCGTGACTGAACACACAATGAACGTCTCTGAGTGCTTTAAGTACTTTAATTTTCGAAAAAGAACAGATACCTTATAAATAGTGCTTTAAAATTGGCCCAGCCTAGGATTTGCTCCGACAACTTTTGTTAAAGCCGTTGCTTCTACACCTACTCGAATACCGAGGCCAGAATTGGCTGTGTGTAGATACCTGGAGCTGTGGACAACCTAGTGGGTTACCTAAGCTCCGGAATAGAGGTAGGAATGGGGTGATCTTTAGTCAATAAACGTCTGACGCTCCCTCTTGCCTCACCCAAGGCGAGAGAAGTCATTAGATAATTTTCTCCCTTCAAACTATCGGTACTATATATAGGTATATATATAACTACTATGGTTGTGTATAGTTAATATTTAAGACAGAGGAAAATAGGTGCAAAGTAGAAATTATTGTCAAAAATCTATTGATTTAGGAAACTATTCACACATTGTGAATTTGTATGTTTTTAATTGCACCCACGATATAGGAGAAAATCCTAGTATGAGGTAGGTATCGTTTAGAAATAATAAAAAAAGGAAATGAAATAAATAACGGAAAATAATAAACAATGTTGTAATATGTGTAGGTAACTGTAACTGTACCGGAGCCAAAAGCCCAAAGGCCAGCAATGCACTTATTACTCCTCTTGTGTTACCGGTGTCCATGGGGGTGCTGAATGCTTATTACCATCAGATGATTCGTCTGCTCGTCTATTGTCCAATCCTATAAATATACTTGGAACTGACTGACTTGGAGAAAGGGAGGAGAGGTAATTCTCTCCTCCCTTTCCCAGTCCCTGAATCCCCAACAGTCCTAAATTCCTAATCCCAAAAGGCCGGTAACGCACTTGTAACGCGTCTGGTGTTCCAGGTGTCTATGGGCGACGCCGATTGCTTACCATCAGGTGATCCGTCTGCTCGTTTGTTGCCCTATCCTATAAAAATACTTTCAACAGACTGATCTAGAATCATTGCGTATATTTAGCATGATACCTGTTCAAACATCAACCAGGTATAATTATATTACTATACGCACTTGTATATATATATAAAGAAAAAAGAAACAAATAAATTAATTTACTTCAAACAAAACAGTAGCTGTAATAATCATTATCGGCTATAAATTTAATCAATAATTAATCATTTTAACACAATCATTTAATTAGTGTTTCAATTACAATTGTACGGTATATGCTTGCGTATATATATATATATGTATAACAGTAACGACGTATTGTTTGCCCAACTGTGTGTATTATTTTACTTTATGAAATACAAAGTTATATTTTGCAGGTGGATGAAATTGGAACTAGAATTTATATTTGTAAAATAAAATATTATATAGATATATTACCTTCATTTAATATGTATGTAAGTTCCTAATAAACAGCCAATTGAGTACTCGCCAACTAGTCAAATTCAATACTTTTTTCGAACTGTCAAAAACGACAGTTTTCTATGAATTTTGTACGAGATTGTGTATTGTGACGTCACGTTTTTTTAGCGTCAAACAGCGTACTTATTTCTTAAAAATTTGCTTAAAATCAATTAATGAAAGTGTGATTGTTTTTTGATATTTTATTATACTGAACAGTCGAAATAATTTATTTTTGATTAAGGAAAATACCCAATTTGAGAGATATTGAGGGAGGCCTATATGACGTAGTGAACAGAGTGTGATATTAACATACTGTACATTATCATATCACCATATGATGACGAAAATTATTTTGTTGTCCTATGTACTATAGTAAGGTCAATAATATAAATAAAGCATTAGATAAATAAATAAAGATAACATTTCTTTGTAGTTTCTTGACAGGGTATATAGTATATGAAACTTTAAATGGATACTGCATTTTTTTTACACTTAACCTCATCGGAATCAACACCTCATAAAGGCCATAGCTGGAGTATAGACCTCCTCTACATAAGAAGCAGTCATTATCTTTCTCATTACCATTTATATGACGTTTAAATTAAACCCCTTATAATCTAGAGAAACTTCTTCTTTTCTATCGTTTCGCTCTTGGCAGAGCGGTCGGGGTTACGTTGAGGCCGTATCTGTGTTAGAAGCCGATACAGCTTTCCTCACGATCTCCCGCCATCTCTCTCTGTTTGTGGATTGTCTGGCGTAGTCTGACACTGGGTTTCCTTTTGCTGATTTGACTTGAACAGTAACGACGTATTGTTTGCCCAACTGTGTGTATTATTTTACTTTATGAAATACAAAGTTATATTTTGCAGGTGGATGAAATTGGAACTAGAATTTATATTTGTAAAATAAAATATTATATAGATATATTACCTTCATTTAATATGTATGTAAGTTCCTAATAAACAGCCAATTGAGTACTCGCCAACTAGTCAAATTCAATACTTTTTTCGAACTGTCAAAAACGACAGTTTTCTATGAATTTTGTACGAGATTGTGTATTGTGACGTCACGTTTTTTTAGCGTCAAACAGCGTACTTATTTCTTAAAAATTTGCTTAAAATCAATTAATGAAAGTGTGATTGTTTTTTGATATTTTATTATACTGAACAGTCGAAATAATTTATTTTTGATTAAGGAAAATACCCAATTTGAGAGATATTGAGGGAGGCCTATATGACGTAGTGAACAGAGTGTGATATTAACATACTGTACATTATCATATCACCATATGATGACGAAAATTATTTTGTTGTCCTATGTACTATAGTAAGGTCAATAATATAAATAAAGCATTAGATAAATAAATAAAGATAACATTTCTTTGTAGTTTCTTGACAGGGTATATAGTATATGAAACTTTAAATGGATACTGCATTTTTTTTACACTTAACCTCATCGGAATCAACACCTCATAAAGGCCATAGCTGGAGTATAGACCTCCTCTACATAAGAAGCAGTCATTATCTTTCTCATTACCATTTATATGACGTTTAAATTAAACCCCTTATAATCTAGAGAAACTTCTTCTTTTCTATCGTTTCGCTCTTGGCAGAGCGGTCGGGGTTACGTTGAGGCCGTATCTGTGTTAGAAGCCGATACAGCTTTCCTCACGATCTCCCGCCATCTCTCTCTGTTTGTGGATTGTCTGGCGTAGTCTGACACTGGGTTTCCTTTTGCTGATTTGACTTGATCAGTCCAGCGCATACGTGATCTGCCTCGTGATCTGATTCCCTCTACCTTCCCCTGAGCAGAAACTAGCGACA